TGCAATCTCCCTGTGTCTTCAACAGCTGGACGTGCGGCAATCCACTGTGCTGCGCTAAGCAGCTGAGCTTGAAAATCAGGAAATAAAGGTCAGAATAGAGCCCAGGTGGGAAGGCCCAGTAGCTTATTGTCGGAGCGAACCGGTTCGTTCACAGATGATCCTTGGAGCTATCGGTTCAGCCGAACCGGTAGAATACCACCACTGATTCAGCTGTTTTTTTGATCCCACTTTCCTTTGTCTTTCAGGTTGCTTCCCGCACGGACTGCATCATGTGTTATGGGCCCCTCGTGCCTGACGGCTACGCTGTTTGCTACAACCCTTTGCCCACCCATATTAATTTTGCTGTCACCGCCTTCAACTGCTGTGAGGAAACCAATGCCACTTACTTAGCCGGAAACATCCAGAATGCCCTGGCTGATGTGGGGGCCTTGTTGGGGAACTTTGGAGAAGGCCAGCCTGACAAACTCTGAGAAAATATTTTGAACTTCACTTCAGACTTCAAACATGACTGAGGGCATCTCTCTAGTTTGGCCAACAGATGACCCGTCGTTGTTGAAAAATCCCCAATCTCTCCCTTGCCTTCTTTTGGGCCAAAATTTGGGATGCAGCATCCTTCAGCACTCCTAATCCCATAATATCCTTTGCTAGCCCTAACAGGATTTGCAGGGAAATGGCTGTCTTTATATAAATATATACATGCACGTCTTCTAAATGCAAGATCAGATCCTAATTTATTTCCAGAATAAAGACATTTAAACAATATATATATATAGCAGGAAAAGTTCCTGACAATTTCTTTTTTAGATCAGTGAAAGATCATGATTTTTTAAAATTGTGACTGGGTTGCAAGTCCATTCCAAACAGGCGTTTACAGCATAGTGAACTATGATTGTGTTTCATGTTCACATTGTGCCTTAGTTTAGCTGCCCCCAATTTCTGGGGCCCCAGGGACCAGTACTGGGCAGTGGGCAGGGCATAGTTTCCAGAGTTACCTAACTCCTGCGCATATGCAGATGACGCTTCACTCGCTTGTGCACCCCAGTTTCTAATGGGCCGTGGTCCCGTACTGGTTCACAGCCCAGGGTTTTTGGGGTCCCCTGCCTTATACGCTTTTTCCTAGGGGTTCTCAAAAGTTTGTGTGGTAGGACAACTTTCCGAAACAATGAATTGATTTCTGGGTCTCCCACCCCTTAAAAGAAATGGCTTCGATTGGGATGAGGTTTGGCAAAAGAAATAAAAGGCATCACAGTTAAACTCTAATCCGTATCTAAAAGGGATTCTTAAAACTTTGCAGGATTGCAATGGGATGACGTGAAAAACAACGTCCTGTGGCATTTTCCATTCTCTCAACGTAGCCCTAGTTTTTGTTTTTGTTTTAGAGTCAATCACAGTCAAGTTTCTATTCAGGATTGCAAGATCCAGGAAGGAAGATTTCCACTGACATTTTAATTCAGATTTCCGATTTAATGCTGGCAAAATCAATTATGGTAATAAAGGGGTATGTGTATGATTGATTACCGAAAATTCAAGAAGGAAAAACTGCGGCTGTCATTCATTAGCAAATTCATTAAAGTGGCATCTCTGTGAACTACTTCCTGCAAGACTGCTTAACTCAATGATTCTTAAACTTTTCCCTTCCTTATCTAAAACTGCTTATCAGAAAGCCTTATCAGACTTTGGGTACCAGTCCTAAATCCTTTCCTTTCAGCACCATCATAATTTCAAACAGTCACTACATGAATGGTCAAATCCTCAAAGACTATCTACTGTATACAGGTAGTCCTTGACTTACGACCACAATGGAGCCCAGAATTTATGTTTGCTAAGTAGGAAAGTTGTTAAGTGAGTTTTGCCCCATTTTACGATTTTTCTTGCCGCAGTTGTTAATCAACGCACTGTGTTAAATTAGTAACGTGGTTGTTAAGTGGATCTGGCTTCCCTGTTGTCTGTCGGAACATCGTAAAAGATGATCACATAACTCCAAGACACTGCAACGGACATAAAGATGAATCGGTTCTCAAGCATCCAAATGTAAATCACATGACCACGGGGATGCTGCACTAGCCATAAGTGTGAAAAAATGGTCATAAGTCGCTTTTTTCAGTGGCATGTGGGAACTTCAAACAGTCACTGAATGAACTCTTGTAAGTCAAGAACTATCTGTACAAGACTCCTGGTGGTGCAGTGGTTAAAGTGTAGTACAGATAGTCCTCAACATACAACAGTTTGTTTAGTGACTTTGAACAGACACTAAATGAACTGTCATAAGTCGAGGACTACTAGTATTGTACAACAAAAAAAATTCCTGTGTGATCTTCAGGGCATTTCAATCAACATTGGTAATTTCATCAATTTTCCCTTGAAAGGAAATGTTCAGCATTTTCAAATATACACATGTACACATGTATACACACACAAAATATACAAAGGTACATGTGATAATCTTTAAGTCAATTTAAATGTCCCTGTTGCGATTGGGCAATAAGATTTACATGGTGGTATCCAAAGAAAAGTCACTTTTATCCAATTTAGGGTAATAGAATAGAATAGAATAGAATACTTTATTGGCCAAGTGTGATTGGACACTCAAAGAATTTGTCTTGGTGTAAATACTCTGTACATAAAGAAAAGATACATTCGTTAAGAATCAAGAATCATAACGTACATTCGTACAACACTTAATGATAGTCATAGGGTACAATCAACAATCAAATCATACTAGGAAACAGTCAATATAAATTGTAAGGATACAAGCGACAAAGTTACAGTCCTAAAATCGCAAGTGGGAGGGGATGGGTGATAAGGAGTGATAAGATTAACAGTAATAGTAGTGCAGACTTTGTAAATAGTTGAACAGGGTTGAGGGAATTATTTGTTTAGCAGAGTGATGGCTTTCGGGGGAAAACTGTTCTTGTGTCTAGTTGTTCTGGTGTGCAGTGCTCTATAGCATCGTTTTGAGGGAAGGAGTTGAAACAGTTTATGTCCGGGATGTGAGGGATTTGTAAATATTTTCACAGCCCTCTTTTTGATTCGTGCAGTATATATATTTCCACTTTGGGAAGCATTAGCTTAACTGAAAAGCGAATGGCTTGTTTACCAGACAAAACATCCATTTGTTCTTTGTTTGCCATATTTTGAAATGCTTTTTTTCCTCATATATTTTCTCTGGCACCTCCCTTATAAATAATTTGGGGGTCCTATTGGGGTCTTGATTTTCAGTTTGAGGCCTAGACTAATTGGGTAGGAATGCCCATGGAAACATCCGCAGAGCCACAGTGGCTAGAATGCAGTCATATAGGCCAACTCTGCCCACTGCCAGGAATTTGATCCTGACCGGCTCAAGGTTGACTCGTCCTTCCAAGGTCGGTAAAATGAGGACCCAGATTGTTGGGGGCAATAGGCTGACTCTGTAAACTGCTTAGGGCTGTAAGGCAGTGGTCCCCAACGTTTAGGGCACCAGGGACCATATCCATGGGGAAAGGATTTTCCGCAGACCGGAGGGGACTTGCGTTTGCTTCCCTTGTTTACGTGGCCCGGTTTCTGGCATGCCGCAGCCTGGTGCCAGTAAAGCCACTATGAAGCAGTATATAAGTCTAGGGGTCCCCAAACTTGGCAACTTTAAGACTTGTGGACTTCAACTCCCAGAATTCTGGGAGCTGAAGTCCACAAATCTTTAAAAAGTTGCCAAGTTTGGAGACCTCTGGTCCAAGTGCTATTGCTATCCTGGGACACGAGGGTGTAGTTCTGATCCTCACAGGACGGCAATTAGGAGCTGGGTTATAATAACAATATCCTGTCCGGCATCTGATGTAAAATGTGACTTGGCAAAGCTTTCCTCTGATTGGGCCCTGCTGCTTTGAAATCCTGCAAGATTTCAGCATTCTCATTTGAAGGAGAGAGAGGGCTTCAGCGAGGGCAAAGAAATTGCATTGAGAGGTTTGAGTGATTTTAAAAGGTTTCTCCCCCCCCCTCCCAAAAAAAAAAGCTTAATTATAGAAGTCCACAGGTTTAGGGATGTTTGAGGGGACCTGGCCTATGTGATTCCTATTTTCTGCTCTGATAAACAGAGCCTCAGTCCAACTTCTTCCAAGGTGTTTGTCCTGCTCTGAGATTTTCTGCTGTGTTTCTCAGAAGAAAACAAACTAACAGAAGCAGTCTTTGGACTAATCCCAAGCTCTTGTAGAGACACTGAGCCTGTCTCTTCTGCTGCAATCTGTTGGGAGAACCTGCTAAAACATATCTTGGTTAGCAGCTGGAATTGAGATGGTAATAGATGTAGAATATATATATATATATTGTCTGCCTTCAAGTCAATCTTGATTCTTGGCAACTTGGCACAGAGAGGTTCATGCCGTTTCCTTGGTAACGGTGCAGAAGTGATTTGCCACTTCCTTCTGGGATATTTTTTTTACTTCTTCATTTAGGACTGAGAGTGGATGAATGCCCAGAGTCCCCTAGTTGGTACCCACAGCTGAGGGAGGTCTAGTTGCTCTTAGGTGATCACATTCACAAACATACTTAATAGCAATAGGATTTAGACTATTTCCCCCATGATAACAACCCTGTGAGGTGAGTTGGGCTGAGGGAGAGGGACTGGCCCAAAGTCACCCAATTAGCTTTCACGGCTAAGGTAAGACTAGAACTGGTGATTTGGTCCAAAGTTGCCCAACTGGCTTTGATGGCTAAGGTGGAACTAGGTTTCTTGGTTTTTAGCCTGGTGCCTTAACCAGGCGTAAGAGCACAGGAGGGGTGACAAAACAGCAATAGTCGGAATCAGGGTAGCAGGCAAAGCAACTAATGTCAAAGTGGCTTGTTCATCAGAGCTTGCATTTAAAATATCGCTTGGGCTGTTAGATCCTCCATTTCACACAATCAGTCAATCAAATAAATAAATAACAAATAAATAAATGGGAAATGGGAGAGGGAAGACGGAATGCAAAGTATCTGAGAGACAAGAAAGAGAATATTTCTTTGCACTGATAAGAAATTATATTAAACGATGATGTCAGACGGACAACCTTTGGTGCTCTATTTCAGATGGGGGTGAAAGTTGGAGGCTGGTTATTTTTTTGTGATGGTTATTTTCATTTTTAGGGTTATGTGGTGCTCCGCTTGTGTGTGGTTCATGAGATCTCAAGGGGCATCATGACTTCTGTAAATTCCCTTGAGCATAAATGATCAGACTCAAAATTATCCTATTTTAGACATATTCTGTGAAGACCCAGCTGTCTGGAGAAGGCTCATGATGCTGGGAAAAGGTAGAAGCAAGAGCAGATGAGCAGCAAGAGGAGAGTTTCAATTACAGTGAGGATGGGGGCCTCTGGAAACAAAATGGGACCACTCTCCACCGCCAATTTGTTGGTCAGCCCTGAAATTGGCCTGACTGAGGCCATTTTGAGACTTCAGTGCTGACACACTGGAGCTGAGGGATAGGGAGGGGGGAGTAGAGATAATTGGGGTATTATAGTCAAAACAAAATACTTTTGGGAACCAAGGACATACCTGCAGGTGTTTGGAAGGAGGGGACTGAGGGTGCCTAGCGACTGGACTGTATCCTGATTGGACCACGCGACTGGTTGTTTTGAGAAAGTGACAAACTCCTTTTAATTAGGTGAAATCTTGTCCTGCAGTGAGTTACCATGCGGCGAGTTGACCGTGGCAAGTTGGTTGCAGCGATATTGGCTATGTAAGACCTGAAAGACCCAAGTTTGGAGCAGATCAACATTAAGAAAATCTATTCATGTGGTTGCTAGGAGTTGGGAATGACCTGATGGAACATAATCATCATTTGTCCCCAAACAGGACAAATAATATAGGGGGGGGGCAAGAAAGTACAGCTTAACATCCCATAATGACAACTGGTCCCATGGCAGCCACTTTTGAAAGAAAGGAAATCTCCCCACAGATATTGTGCACAAGTATCTATAACGTATGGAGACTTGTTCAGAATTGCTACCTTGGCCACCAGCATCTAAAGTCCCTGTATGTGGGAGTGCACATGAGCTTCTGTGTGTGAAGGAAGACAAGAGTCAGGGTCACCCCACTAATACTATAACTTTACCACCACCCACCTTTGAGCTAAGAGGGGGACTGGTCACACATCATTCAGGTAGGTTTATGAATTAGATCCAGTGGGTTCATGAAACGTAAGAAGAACGGTTGAAAGAATTGGGTATGTCGTCTCATGAAAAGAAGGACTAGGGGTGACATGATAGGAGTGCTCCAATATCTCCGGGATTGCCACAAAGAAAAGGGGGGTCAACCTACTTTCCAAAGCACCAGAATGGAAGATAAGAAACAATGGATGGAAACTAATCTAGGAGAGAAGCAACCTAGAACTAAAGAGAAACTTTCTAGCGGTGAGGACAATT